TGTGCCCAGCTCTGGGAGGGGACTGGGGTCTGGTGGGTTAGAGCGGGGTGCGGGTGACTAGGAACCAGGACTCCTGGGTTCTGTGCCCAGCTCTGGGAGGGGACTGGGGTCTGGTGGGTTAGAGCGGGGTGCGGGTGACTAGGAGCCAGGACTCCTGAGTTCTCTCCCCAGCTCTGGCCCTGACTTCATGAAGGATCAGGCCCAAAGCGGCTTGTGCTTCTGGGTGCCTGTTGTGTGATATTCTGGGCCTTGTTTTCAGAGGTGCTGAGCACCCGCAGCTCCCCCTGACTGGCAGCACCTCTGACAGTCCCATCCGGGGCTCCCAAAACCACCGGCTGCTTTCAGGGACATTGGCCTGAGGGACCTGCCCTTAGCCATGGAGGGGGGATCTGATGTCAGACGTGGGGTGAGCCCCTGGACTGCCAGACACCCAGGCCCACCCCTCGGCTGCAACAAGCCGCTTCTCCTCCAGGCATCCAGGACCCCAAAGGTTGTGAGAGCGCCAGGGGTCAGGGGAAGGGGGCGATCCAAGGGCGAGGGGCATGTGCACAGCGGAGTCACTGGCGAGCCGTGCTCGGTGTCCCCACAGGTACCTGTTCTGGACAGAGTGGGGCCAGTACCCCCGCATCGAACGCTCTCGCCTGGATGGGACAGAACGGATGGTCCTGGTCAACGCGAGCATCAGCTGGCCCAACGGGATATCGGTCGACTACCAGGTACGGCGGCCGCCCTCCGCTGCGGCGCTGGTAATGGATGCAGGCGGGTGTATAGGAGCAGCTGTCGGGTCAGGTGGATCTGAGCTACAATGGCCCATCCCAGGAGGGGCAGGATACCAGGCATGCGGCAGTTATCAGTGGGTCGGGACCACCCAAAATGCAGCCGTCACCCTGCAGTGGGAGGGACTGGAGGGTTGTGGAGCTCTGACTGCAAAGCCATACGCAGCTGGGGCACTCGGATCTCGGGCCATCCTGCTGACCGGCTCCGTCCCATTGTTTCCTGGTGCTGCCCTGTCTCTCTGCATCCATGTCCTGTATGTCTGTGGGGCGGGGACCTGGGCTCCTGGTGTGCGGCTTTGCTCTTCCAACTGCTGCGTCCCAGCGCTGAGCCCCCGATGGAGACGGGCATGCTCCCCCTTCTCTTTCCCTCCCCCTCCGCCCCGCTGAGCTGTATCCCACCGGGGTGCGTTGCCTCCCCCTCCAGGACGGGAAGCTGTACTGGTGTGACGCTCGGATGGACAAGATCGAACGCATCGACCTGGAGACGGGAGAGAACAGGGAGGTCGTCCTGTCCAGCAACAACATGGACATGTTCTCGGTGTCGGTCTTCGAGGATTACATCTACTGGAGTGACCGGTACGGTTCCCTCCCCGCCGTGCAGGGAGCCGCAGGGGGAGACGGGGGTGGACCTGGAGGTGTTATGCAAATGAGACAATGCCCCTGCTTTAAATTTACATATCATTTGCATAAAATGCAATCATTCCGGGCATGCTCCCTATCTCGCCTGTGGTCAGAGATGGTGGCCCCTGGGGGTCCTCCAGCACTCTGAACCATAGAGACTGCTGTCTAGAGTATACCCCCAACCCACCCACCCACTGCCATAGAGCCACAGCGCTGGGCAGGGCTATGGCTAGAGTGGCTGCCTGCCTGGTGCCGCTCTACCCACACCAGTGCTGGAGCTCTATGGCTGCGGGGCTTGGTGGCGAGAGCTACGCTCTAGGCAGGGGCTCTGTGGTGTGGAGTCCTGGAGGACTCACCCTGAGAGCTTGGTCCCCGCCAGCGAGCGGCCAAAGAGCTGGCTAGAGTGGCTGCCTAGGGAGTGTCGCTCTAGCCATGACGCTGCCCAGTGCTGCAGCTCTGTGGCTTGGGGAGTGTTGGGGGGTATGCTCTAGACATGGGTCTCTATGGTTCGGAGGCCTGGGGGGGTCCCTAGGGGTCTCTGTGGTTTGGAGGCCTGGGGGGGTCCCTAGAGGTCTCTGTGGTTCAGAGTTGAGGCCTGTGCCCATAGAGATCCAGCCTAGTGCTCCTCCCCTGCACCCCCCCACACCCCCGCACACACACTTCCAGGGAAATGGGAGTGGGATGCCAGTGCCCAGGAGGGGGCATCTGGAGCCTCCTGGCCTATCTGGGCACTGAACAGCTCAGGAGTGGGGGGATGAGCCCTATGGAGGCTCCCCCCGCCCCTCCGGTCCCCCAGGCCTGACAATGGGCTGCTCTGGGGCTGCGAGTGAGCGAATGACATTTGTGAGACGCTGACACGGGGGAGGGGGTGTATGTGAGAGAGTGGGGGTGTAAGGTATGTGTGTAATCCCAGGTGTGGGGGTGTAGGGAGTGGGTGTGTAACTCTGAGGGGGTGGGTGAGTGGGGGTGTGAGCATGGCTGCAGGGCGTGGGTGCAGGGGGTATGTGTAATCCCAGGTGTGGGGGTGTAGGGGGTGTGTGTGTAACTCTGAGGGGGTGGGTGAGTGGGGTGTGAGCATGGCTGCAGGGCGTGGGTGCAGGGGGTATGTGTAATTCCGGGTGTGGGGGTGTAGGGGGTGGGTGTGTAACTCTGAGGGGGTGGGTGAGTGGGGGTGTGAGCATGGCTGCAGGGGGTATGTGTAATTCCAGGGGGGTGGTTGCAGCGCAGAGGTACATGACATCCAGGATGGCGGTGGGGGACCAGGGCATGTGAACACTGGCAGATTGTGGCTGGGCACGGCGGGCGGGCGCGGTCCCTGCTGCGTGCAGCAACGTGTTCACGCCCTACAACGCCTCCAGTTCATTGACCTCTCTCACCTTCTAGGACCCACGCCAACGGGTCCATCAAAAGGGGCAGCAAGGACAACGCCACGGAGTCGGTGTCCCTGAGGACAGGGATAGGAGTGCAGCTGAAGGACATCAAAGTGTTCAACCAAGCCAGGCAAAAGGGTACGTCCAGGGGCTGGTGTGTCCAGCATGGCCCCCTTGCGCCTCACTTTCCTCGGGGGGAGGGGGGATTAAGTGCTGCTGATGGGGGGCGTCTGCGGCAGGGGCACCGGGAGACGTTTGAAGGAACCCGTTGGCTTGTCTGTTCTCATGGAGGGATTTTTTTCTCTTGTCTCTGTTTGCAAAGGCTGGGAATTATCTTAGGGGGGGAGGTTCTGGAAGGGATATTTGGAAAAATGAGCAAAGTGCAACCCCACGCACAGGGGTTCACGCACCCAGACGTGTTCCCACTCCCAGTCACACGTGTGCACCCTGACGCACAAGGAGTCTCGCACTCACTCGGCGCACGCACAAAAGCAGCCCCAGGCGGTGTCTACGCTACAGGCTGTGGACCAGTCCAGCTATGCTGGGGGGCCGTGCCAGCGTATCCCCATTGCGTAGGCTGACGGAAGGGCCTTTGTCACCTCCCCACACGACAGTCGCTTCCCTGATGGAAGCAGCTTTGTGTCTACGCTGGCTTTAGTTCAGCGCAGCTGTGTTGGTTTCACGTCGCTGTCGACCTGACTTTTGAGTGTCGATTGAGTCCCAGAGAGTGTTCCGAGGACTCCCGCTCGCTTTCCCTCCGCGATTTCTCCCCACAGCAGCCTGCCCCCACCAGCCCTTCCCTTTGGCTTGAATCAGGTTTTGACCCCTCCCTTCTCTGGGAATGTGGGGGAGACGTTAAAACACGTGACGCGGGAGCCGCGTTCTCTGTGCCCATACGGTCCTTGAAATGTGGGGCATGGGGGCCTCCCCCAGACCTTGGGGCCCACACGCCCCCTCCAGTCTGCCACCCAAGCCCCCCATCCCTTCTGTGCAGAGTTTAATCCATATTCTCCTCCCCACAGGCACCAACGTCTGCGCCCAGAACAACGGCGGCTGCCAGCAGCTGTGTCTGTTCCGCGGCAACGGGCAGCGGACGTGCGCCTGTGCCCACGGCATGCTCGCTGAGGACGGGGTGAACTGCCAGGACTACGACGGCTACCTGCTCTACTCCGAGCGCACCATCCTCAAAAGCATCCACCTGTCGGACGAGAGCAACCTCAACGCGCCCGTCAAGCCCTTCGAGGACGCCGAGCACATGAAGAACGTCATCGCCCTGGCCTTCGACTACCGCGCCGGCACCGCCGGCAGCAACCGCATCTTCTACAGCGACATTCACTTCGGCAACATCCAGCAAATCAGCGATGACGGCACCGGGCGCAAGACCATTGTGGAGAGTGAGTCCCCTGGGCCCTCCCTCGCCGCCTCCTCCTCCTCTGTCTCTCCCCTCCCTTGCGGCTTCCTCCCTCTCTCCCCTCTTCTTCCGCCTCGTCCTCTTCCTCTGTCCCCTTCTACTCCATTTATCCCCTCCCTCCGTCTCTCCCGTCTTCTTCCTCCTCCTCCTCCTCTTCTTCCATCTCTCCCCTCTTCCTGTCTCCTTATCTCAGTGTAAGGATTCCAGGGTAAAGTTTGTTATGGGGGAAGGGCAGTTGTTCAGGGATTGGCTGGGAATTTTCCGCCCAGGGCTCTAGAACCCCCATGGGGGCATGTCCTGAGTGCCGTCCCCATGGGTTTGTTCTAGAGCGGGGTGGCTGCATCATGGGCCTCCGGAACGTGGAGGTTCGGGGGGAGGAGACAGGCTCTAGAACGTGGGAGGTGCTGGCGAAGGATGCAGGTGGCCTGGGGTCACCGTGGCCTGGGGCTCTAGAGTTTGGGGGGCAGGCAGGTGGCATGGGGGGGCTCCAGAATGAGCGGGACCCGTGTCGTGGGGCTCTCGAGTGTGGGGGATGGGTGCATCCCGGTTTCCACCGTGCAGGGATCCCTGCATCCCGGATCAGTGAGAGCCGTTGGGTGTGGCCCCAGCACACCTCCCTGCAGCGTGCCTGTCCTTCCAGTGGGCGTGTCCAGGGACAGACCCCGTCCGCCATCGCTTTCCCATCCTGCAGCCTCCAGGGGATCCGGCTCCGGCTTCCCTTGCTGTTGGATTCCCCAGCCTGGACTCTTTATCCTTAACATTGTTTCTGTCCCCAGGCCGATCTGCCGCCTTCCCTGCCATCTGAGGCACTTTTGCCTTTCCCGAGAGACCTAGCGAGGCTGGAGGCTGGCGTGCCAGCCCGATGGCTCACGCTCGAGCCCTGCGCTGGGCGTAGCTAGAGACGCCCCCTTTGCCCTCAGAGCAGCTGCTGCCCGGGCAGAATCAGCAGAGAGACCGAGCCAGGAAAGCCTGGGGCAGAGCCTCCGCTGGCGTAGCTCCATTGGCTCTAAGGGAGTTAGGATCATTTATACCCGGTGTGGATCTACCTCCCTTTGTGAGCGTGTGTGAGTGTCTCCGTCCATCCGCGTGTGCGTGAGCGTCTCTCCGTCTGTGTGCGTCCGTGTGTGTCTCCGTATGAGTATGTCTGCGTGTATGTCTGTCTGTCTGTGTGTCTATCTGTGTGTGTCTGTGTGTGTCTCCGTATGAGTATGTCTGCGTGTATGTCTGTCTGTGTGTGTGTCTGTCTGTGTGCGTCCATGTGCGTGTCTCTGTACATGTGCGTGTACCCGTCTGCGTCTGTCTGTGTCCGTGTGTGTCCGTGTGTGAGCATCTCTCCATTGGTGTGCATCCGTGTGCGCGTCTCCATCCGTGTGTGTGCATGTCTCTCCATCCATCCATGTGTGTGAATGTCTCCGTCCGTGTGTGTGAGTGAGTGTGCGTGGCTGTCCGTGTGTGAGAGTGTCTCCGTCCGTGTGTCCGCACATGTCTTGGTCTGTGTGCGTGAGTGTCTCTGTCCGTGTGCGCAGGCGTTTCCCAGGAGATGAGGCCCCACGGCACATCTTGGCAGCTCTCTGTTTGCGTTACATTTACAAGACTAAGCCACTCGGCCTGAACCAGCCCCTGGCCTCCCGAGCTACCGTTCACCCCGAAACTTGATTAGTTTTATTGGTTCCTACAGCTGTCGCCGTGCGCGTGGCCAGCTCCGCACCACTAGAGTAAATCTCCACCCAGCGTCATAAATTCATTAATAAGCTGAGTTACATTCACAATGAGCTTGCACCGCGTTTATTGCTCTGGCCAGGAAAGCGGTTGTAATTGATTGCAGCTGGGGGAGCGAAGGATTCGGTGGGTCCGTCTGCGGTGAAGGAGGTGCCTAGCGGTTAAGGCATTGGACTGCCGTGGAGGAGAGCTGAGTTCAGTTCCTACCTTTGCTACAGACCCCCTGGCCGACCTGGGGCCCATTACTTCCCCGCTCTTGGCTCAGTGTTCCCATCTGTAAAATGGGTGCAATCATCCATTCTTCAGCTGTCTAGACTGAGCTCGTCAGAGCAGGGCCTGTGTGTACAGCCCCCCGCACAATGGGACCTGGGCTTGGCTGCAGCTCCAGGCACGACCATAATAACGCTGCTTATGAACATGAAGGACCTAGAGCAGGAGCGTGCCTGGGAGCTGAACTCTGTCTTGGCTTGCAAAGCCCCCTTCCCATTCCCGTCCCGGCCCTGTGGCACCCATGGGAGCTAGGGGGACAGGGCAGCCAGGAAAGCAGGGGCTGCTTTTACCCAAGAACCAGCCTGCACCCAAATCCTCGGGCCCTGCCCCCTCTCAGCAGCCAAGGGAGGAGACACAGCAAGGCCCAGTTTGCCCCTGATCCACAGAAGAGCAAAGGCAACTCGAAGCTGTGCCGGCTGTGTGTAGCGGTGGATGAGCAAGAGCCTGCGCGCAATGGAGCTCCTGCCGGGCTCCTTCTGCTCCATTGTTTCTCCCTCTCTCTTCCGCGGGAGAACGGGAAGTGCTGCCCCCCGGTGGCTGCTGAGGCTGTGGCCTGTGTCACAGAGTGTGGGGGAGTCAGGGCCCTGCACCCCCCACTTCCTGTGATTCACCGAGGCTCTCGGCCAACCAGTAAAACAGAAGGGTTATTAGACGACAGGAACACGTCCAAAACAGAGCTTGTAGGTACAGACAACAGGACCTCCTCAGTCAGGCCCATCTTGGGGGGCAGGGAGCTTAGACCCCCAGCTCTGGGGCTCCCTCCATTTCCTCAGCCAGTTCCAAACTGAAACCCCCTCCAGCCCCTCCTCTGGCCTTTGTCTCTTTCCCGGGCCAGGAGGCCACCTGATCTCTTTGTTCTCCAACACCTTCAGTTGACCCGTTGCAGGCCATCAGTGTCCAGGAGACAGGGTGTCGGCCATTCTCTGTGCAGACACCATCACACTGGCCCTCTAGGGCCCTGCAACCATCACACCCCCTTATCCCACCACCTAGAGACTTAAGAAATGCATAGGGGAAACTGAGGCAGCCACACAGTATTCAGAGAAAACATTAAGAACATTCCCACTTCCTCACAACCCGTTTCCCCAGAGTCTCCGGCCTCTTCCTGCAGCCCCCAAGCAGCAGAGCCCACGCATCGCTCCGGAACTGCCTGGACGTGAAGATGTAGACGGCCGGGTTGGCCACCTACCAGGAACCAGCACAGAGCTGGGAGGGCGCCGTGGGAGCCGGCCAGCCCCTGGAGCAACAGAGGGTAGGATGGGAGCCAGCAGACCACGCAGGTCCAGCCGCAGCAGGAGCCGCACCCTTCCCAAGCCAGCGTTGGTTTGTGCAGGCAGTGGGCGGGCATCACCCTTCCCGGAGCACGGGTGCCCCCGAATCTTGGCCTGCGTGGTGGAGATGACGGCCAGTGAGATGGCAAAGGTACAGAGGAAGAGGGCCACGGCATACACTCGTTGGCAGCGATAGGGACGTGCCACGGCCAGGTCGCGGTGCACGGCCAGGGTGAAGGCGGTGGCGAAGGAGTTGGCCACGCCCACGAAACGCAGGAGCTTGTGGAGGCCGGCCCTGAAGAGCCGCACGGGTGTGATGGCTGCTGCGGCGGCAAAGGGCCTGCGGG